CCATAGTCTGCGGTATTCGCCGTTGCCATCTCCCAAAGACCCGCAAATGTTATGTAAAATGTTTCCCTCAAACACTTAAATAGCCGCCTCATCGAATGTTTTCATTGTCTAAATAGTTATTGAACCTACTACGATCCTGTAAAAAATTCTACACGACAGAATGCCGGCCTCTCTGAAACTTTGTTAGATATCAAATTCCTCAAAGAGGCCAATCCCATTCCTGACGGAGTTGGTGATATTGCTACCGTTTGCTTACACAAACTTGTTAGTAGGTTCGCGGGAATACGAAATTTAGAGAACCCGGCATTAAGGCAACTTCTTTTCATCTTTCGGAAAATGGCCTTAAAATCGATAAATATATAGTGTCGGGGTCGATTCTATTATCATGGGTTTTTCCAATATTTGGTGTACGATGAATACCTGGTACATAGAGCATTCTCGAAGTCTATGGGCACACTGATAAGTAACTTCCAGACAGCTCGTTTCCATATCGTAATACGCTCGATAAGACCTTATGTGGGACAATTAAGAGGCGGATCCTGTGGTGGTTGGCGCATGCGTCAGGGTCGCCCTTCTTGTGTAATTTTAGTAGGAAGAGCGGGCATATTCTGCATAAAAGAATCTCACGAATGTCTTTCTACCGTACTTCAATATCTAGTAAGCTTCAACAGCTTTGTTATTTTTCATATTAGGAAATTAAATTCTATTCTATGTATATCTATAATACGTGTACCGAATTTCAAGCAAATGGGAATGGATCGGTTCCTGGTCCACCTATAAGAAAGAAGTATATGTTAATCCAGGCAGTAAGCTGCCTACGCGCCAAATTTTACGCAAAATGGAACGTATTAGAAGCAAATATGGATCTTATATGTTAATCTAGGAAAATGGTTCCTACTAAATTTCAAGCAAATCGGACGATATATAGGATTTTTTCGAATAGATCGGTTTCTGGTCCACTTCACAAAAAAAAATAACCATACGTACTTATCTACACTCTATAAAGTGCATGTAAAACTACTACTGAAAAGTGTTTATTTGTCAACCAGAATCTGCGGAAATATACGCATATGATGTTCAAGATTTGATTTTGAACATGAGGGGTTTAAAATATATACATAAATATGCATATGAAATTTTTAAAATTACAAATATTTTGTAAGTAAAAATATATTTTTTTGCAAGTAATAAATCACAAGTGCTCATATTTACTCAATTTTGAACACTTTGTGTGTAATTTCTCCCTACGTGGCAAATTTGGTATGTAAAAGTAAACAGACAGTATTTAATTTTGCTCACATTAGGAGAGGAAACTTGTTACCTCCTTATATATGCTCAAATTTAAACAAAAAATTGTTAGAGGAGATTTTAAATAATTTATGTGTAAACTGTGGAATTGTGAACGACATAATTTTGCTTTCATTCTGCCCTGCGCCATGGCTGTCAAGTTTTCGTGTTCTTTTCTCAGCATCTTTACATGCATATTGCGTGCTCCATAAAATATTGCACTCTGATAATATTAACACATAAGAAGGTGAAATTTTTTTCGAGAAAAGGAAACACCATTAGTACATTATTAAAGTGCAGGTTTGAAGTGGCTACAAACTACTGAGGAACTTTCAATTTTTCTTGGACAGTGCCAGTTATTTTCTTCCACATAAATAATGTTCGCAATTGAAAATTTATGAAGTTGTGAAACTTTTTATATAATGAAAAAATGTATTCCTTTTAACTCTGAGCAAATTAGCTTCAGTGCGATGTTTCCTGTAATTCTCAATGTCGTTAGATGATTACTTTTTCTGTGGCAAATGGGCAAAGAGAGTGTTACAACCGACTCTAAACCGAGTATTAATAAAAAATTGAGCGGAGCGCGACCTATTATATTAATATAACTTCCTTATACGCTATTAATCCCCTTGAATAAATTTAAAACCTTAAAGATAGTTAAAAACATTCAATGCAAAATATTTAAAGCAATAAGCTCAATCACGCCCTGCAGCAGAAAATGTCAATGTTAATAATATTTACTAAATATTTGGATTCAAAGAGATCAATACAAAAACTATTCCCACATACATACATATTTTTATTTATCCATTACATTCCATTTATTACTCAACCCAAATGTGGGAAGTGAACAATGCTTGTTGGCCCTCTCTGTTTGTCTACACTTCCATTTGTCTGGCAATTTACACGCTCATCGATTTAGCTAGCAATTCGCACTCGTAGGTACAGTTGCATTTGCTCTGTCTGTTTGTTTTTTTGTCCGTTCGTCATTTCACTTTCACTTATTTATGTATTTACTCATTTCGGGTGTGTTAACTTGATGTTGCAATATTTTCGTATTTTATTAACAGCAAGACCGCTTTTGTTACTATGCTGGCTGTAAGACGTGGATCGTTTTGGCCATTAGCAACTGCTGCGCCGGTGTAAAGTGACATTTGACACAACTGTGTAGCAAATGTCGCAGGTTTCCGCAAAGATTTTATGTTATCGTAGGAGAGCTGCGTATTATGCCGAATTTCCACTAGGCAATAATTTACTAAATTTTTAATGGCAATCTTGGGCATTAAAAAATACGCGAATCACTACTTCAATAAAAATAGTCATTAAGTTTGTTTCAACATGGCATTTTTTTAAATACATAATTTTTTTTTTTGTATTTGTCAATGTTATTGTGGCTTATTAACATTTTTATTTTTAATATTTTTATTGAGCTTTGTACCACGATTGTTTATTGGGACAAATTGAAGAAGCAACAAAGTCTAAGCGGTAGAAGTTATAGCAGCTATTTCGGAGATCACCACATCTCCTCATCAGACTTCGATTTTCTAGGCTTCAGCAGGGATCGAACCTGCGTAATCGATGTTCAAAGTCAGAATCGTTAACCACTGAGCTATGTACATCCCGTACGCAGGTTCGATCCCTGCTGAAGCCTAGAAAATCGAAGTCTGATGAGGAGATGTGGTGATCTCTGAAATAGCTGCTATAACTTCCACTGCTTAGACTTTGTTGCTTTTTCAATTTTTTTTCGAAATCCGAATCGAAGAAAGTCCTCTCTCGACGTACCTAAACCACGCTCTATAAGTCACTCATCATGCCCGTCTTGTTGTATGGCGCAGAAGCATTAACAATGACACAATCCGATAAGGCGGCTCTTGGAGTGTTTGAGAGAAAGATTGAAATGATGGGCTGTATAAGCTTTACAACGACATATATGTACATGGTAGTGCAGCAAATTGAAATACATCGGCTCCGCTGGCTTGGCCATATCGTTCGAATGGGCACCGACGCAGCAGCTCTGAAAGTATTCAACTCGGAACCCATTGGTGGAGTAGATTTATATTTTAAATTTTAAATCAGTATACCGCTATCCTGCGCCCATCTCTGGTATAGAGACTAGCGCCCCTGGCCAGTGTATAAAGCATTTCCCTCTCCTACGAACAAAAATAAAAAAAAAAACTATAGCTACAATCTACACTAGGTTTTGTTTCAGGTGTATTTCGTGACTTTTTTTTCGTAGCACCTGTTTTGTAGAAGTCTTGAAAACTTCAAAAAGAGGTCAATAATTGTATGAAATGGCAAAATCTATTCAATAAAAAAAAAATCCGGTTTATTCGATATTCGAAAATCAATATTAAAAAATCGCCTATAGAATAGACATCAAATAAAAAAACGGCGCAAACGTTGGTATTGGAAAAAGATGTTTGTGTTTTACTATAGATAAATTTTCGGTGACCCTAACTTATAACTGGTGAAGCCTCTTTTTCACGCCAAATTCTGGAAACTGGCTATACTTGTGCTCATTTTCGTTGTTTAGCCGATTAAAAAAATTCTCTTACAACTTGCGTCTTACGAAACAATTTTTGGCAATTGTACTCATGTAATATTACCGCAAAAAGTTATGGAGTTTAAGATCATAAACGATTTATGTGCATAAACTAAAAATTAGCCCGATAAGGGTCAGTTAAGACATCCTGCCCTTAAAAGCCCCTTTATGAAAATGCGAGTAAATCAAAAAGTAAGAGAAACATTTTACCACTAGGAAGCCTAAATTTGTAGATTACAAGATTTTCTATTGTACACAAAATATTATGCAATTATTTAACGTAACAAAATTTTGGTGTTAAATCGAGCGTTAAATTGATGTCAAACGATTGACCATGTCGATAAAGTTGCAAATATAATAGCAATAAGTTACAAATAAAGATTAAGTAAGCATTCGTGTGTAGCCGGTGATTTCCAAATTTAAATATCAGATTTGTATTACGAATTTTTTTTTAATAGAGTTACTAAAGTAATTAAGACTTATAAAGACATGAAAATGTGTACGATTGATATGAATATTAACGTTCACTTTCTTTGAGTGCATGTAGCTTTTATGATTATTATTATTGTTGTAAAATACTTTTAAAAAACCCATTAGAAATGCAGTGAGGTGCAGTGTGTGTGTATGTAGTCAGAAGCACGCACAACTGTGGTTATTATGAAGGCAGGTGGCAAAGAAAGGCGATGCCATTCACAAAACGTCTGCGCATTGAAAATAAGTGGTGGTTCTGTCCCCTCGCAAAGCTTTCAGAAGTGATGTAATGTGCATTTTGGCGTTGTACTCGCTCAAAATATGCCATGAGTAAAGCTAAAAGAAATGGCGCGCATGCGCGGTAATTAACACAACGCCGTATTAAATATTAATCATATTAACCCTTTTTACATACATACCATACATACTTATGTATATTGTTTCTGTGCATAAATGCTATAATACTCACATTTTAATAACAAATATTTCCATTACTTAAGTACATGTCATCGGTATATTTCTTTGCAGCTGTTCTACATATTGGCGCTAACGCTTCCTCTACTNATTAACCATTTTTACATACATACCATACATACATACATATGTATATTGTTTCTGTACATAAATGCTATAATGGTTAGGATTTAATAACAAATATTTCCATTACTTAAGTACATGTCTTCGATATATTTCTTTGCAGCTGTTCTACATATTGGCGCTAACGCTTCCTCTACTGGCTCACGGCTATCCCGCACAGAGTGAAGATAAATCCCTCTCACTGGAGGAGGTTGAGCTTCCCGACAGCGATCACGCCGCCACAGACGGCGAATCACAAATACAAAAACGCTCTGGCAGTTTTGATTATGTAGCGCATCTGAAATCTGGTCTACTCTCGAGCATCGGACAGGCCTCAGCCTCCATAGCGTCGGGCAGTTCGGGCGGCAGTAGTAGCAGTGGTGGCGAGAGCTACAAATCATACGAGTCGGCTCATGTATATGCCCATAACCTGTTCAACAATTTCGCAACGTTCACTTTTCTCATTTCTTTTCTTTTTTCTCCAACAAAAATTTTCAGGGCAATTCTGTAGAATACAATCCATGGTCGTTTAAGAAATCAGTGCTCAATACTATTTTCCAAGCGGTTAAGGCAATCACCGGCGGTGTGACAGCACTGAAGGGTCAACTCATAAAGGGTAGCGGTTATGCGTTGAGCGCCAGTGGCAATTTGGTTGCCGCTTCGGGTGATAAGGTCACCGATGTTGGCAAAGCTATCATCAATTCGGCGCAAATTAATTCACATGGCTATGGTGCTGTTGTTGCTGTGCATCCTTTCGCCAAATTCAGCTCATTCTCGGGTGCTTCGTCGGGCGGCAGCGGCGGAACTAAACACACTGCTGGTCCAGTTGTGCACACAGAAAGTGAGTATATTTTATGTTTGATAACTTAATGCAAAAGTGGAGAAAAAAGCTCTCCCAAAAGGCCCTCCTGAGAGTCAAGACGCCTGCCACTCTGCATTCCTTTCGGCTTTCTTTTCTGTATGGAGTGGCACAAATTGAAGTGCGTTTTTAGGACGTACTTCAGAAGGCCTTTCACAGGAAGTCTATTACAGTTGCTTCTTTAATTCATAAAAATTATGCTTTTCTATGGAATTAATTTAAGGTTCATACAGATATTTCCTATATTATATAAACGTATACTTTCGGGTAAATTATAAAGAGGGAAAGCCGTTCTCGAAGGCAGCCAGAGCAACACTTTCAAAACTCTTCTTAAGTAAGCCTTTTGGAATGGCTAGGCTTAAGAAGGCCTACCTAATTATCTCCCGAGTAGGTGTATTGACTATTATGTATGGTCATTACGGGCATATGACTGGATGATAGCTTATATAAATTGAAAATTAAACATATAGTAGGAGAACCAGTGACATTATTTATTTAGGGCCCTACTTTTGGCAGAGCCTTACGGTAGGTATGTTGCGGTGTCATCCGTAAACTTAGACCCGGATCAGGGTAGCAACGTCCTTATCTTACAAAAATCAACGTCCAAAATTATTATTTTATCAATTATCAGGCAAAAGTTGCGGACCGATCAGCTGGTAATAAACACCCCTTACGTGCGGTGAGAAAAATGAAATTTTTATTATTCAGTTAAGTATGAAATTTTCATTTGCTATTTTTGCAATGATTTTAAGTCATTTCTGGACACTAGTCTGACACCAAATAGCTCTTTCTCTTCGAGTAACTCATTTAAGGATGAGTGGACGGGGAGCAGTGATTGGAGGAAGGCACCTCTGACCAGTAACACAGATGGGCCTAAGCTTGGCGTAAGAAGTGAAGGGTCGATGGTGGTCATCTCCAGTGAACTCTTCCCCAACTTTAAATTTACTCTTCTGGATCACTAGAGTAGTATCTAAACACAGATTGATGCAACTAAGGAAACGGTCGATTGGCTGCTATTATGCGAAATGACGGTAAGGTAATTTACTTAAACGGGCACAAAGCGAGTAGGGGAATGCCTCACCTCCCTTATAATAGCATCTGAGTATACTTATATCGGTGTTATCGAAAAAAAACGATATTCGTATAAATGGTATATATTCCTTGAAAATCAATATTTTGTCTATAGAAAAACTCTGTTTCCCTTTAGGAGGCTTCCAGTAATAACACCCAATTGTTTATTTAAAAAATGATTAATACTAACGATATTTTATGGGTCCCATATTGCATTTTATGGTATTTTTTCTCGGTATAGAATAATCATTTGCAGTGAGAGCATTAAAATTGCCCATTTTATATCATCCTAGTGAGTACTCTATCTTTGAATGTCTCTTATAGTAAAGCTAAAATTACTAAATTTTAATATGTGAACAGCAATAGGCAGAGATGCATATCGAGCAGTCGTACAGATATTAGAATATACATAAAATAATATGGAATACGTATATGTATAATTAATTCTATAGCTGAAGGTTTATATTTATTGGATGCTACCATTCAGGAGGCGCCAGATAAGCACAGTTTTTTTTTCGTTTCAAAAATTATTAGCTGTTATTACTAATAGGATTTTTTTTCTGGATTCGGCTACGGGTAATACAAATTTTATTTAAGAAACGAAAGCAAACTGACAGCAGACAAAGTAAACCAAATATTTTACAACACCCAAACATAAACCTGAAAATTTTATTAATAAGCGAAGTGTATCATTCCGACATTTATTTATTAGCCACCGAATGGTTGCTGAAAGTAGCTAATTTTAGTAATAAATCCACACTGCCGGGATAAAGCATGCACCAACCATGACCACAAACTCGGAAAATATTTCTATCAACTCATACATAGTAGTAAATAAATGAAGTAAAGAGGGCCAAAAATAACAAAAGCCAAAATAATAATTGAGCCGTCAGCGGCGGCCGCACTTGCTGTAATGCTCTTCCAACTGTCCGCCCACATTAAACTGACTGCATTCGCTGCTGACTTCTACATACATATATATGTATGTACTACAGTACATCTTACACAGCTGCATTGCATCCACTTCATAAGTCCACAGCTATTTATTTACGCGCATATTCGAGTGGCTGTGTTTTCTTTATGTGTGTCATATATGTTTCATAAAAAACTTGAACATTATTGACGAACTAGATCCACACATAAACAGCAAACACTTAGGCGTGCATTGACCCAACGCAACGCGGTACTACATAAATAGTTACTTGGGACCGCAACGGACATGCCAACTTAAGGCAAGTGGTCCGTTCGCTTGGTTGGCTGCTCAAAAGAGATGTCATTTTTTTGTTGGTCATTTTATTCGCTGCACTGCTTATTGAGTAGTGGGCAAGTCTTGGTCGTTTTTGTTTTAAGTATTTGTTTGCTATCCTCGCGCTGCTTAAGCGACAACTTTCATTTTCATAAGGATTTCTGATAGTAGTTAAGGTGCCGTAAAATGCACATATGCACATATCTATTTATGTACATTAGGGTGGTTAAATTTTTTCCCAATCACCCCCCCAAACTGAAATATATCGAAAGTAAGGACATATTTGTAGTTTGAAATTGATTAGCATTTAAAGGTGCTTTGAGGTTTCCCACGTATTTATATGAATAAAACAAATTAGCAAATCTCCTCGCCCGAAAATAAAAACCCTAAAGCATTCTTCTTGCATTTATTTCAATCAATAAATCATGTATTTGAACAATTTTAGCTTTAAAACGTTTATTAAGGCGGTAAATTCATAATTATTTTTTTTAATAACTTTGGGACGATTTCAAATAGAATGTTCATTTTAGAGGTCATGCAAGTTGGGATCAAATAAATACATCCCATCTGTGTAGTTTTAAGAGTGTGCCGCTAAATTACAGAAACTGGCAGCAATCAAAATATCTGTCATAGCTATTTTGTAATCTACACATAGTATAAAGGAAAGTGGAGATTGTTTGTACGCGGTAATCTCGAAAACTACTGAACGGATTTTGACGAGATTTTCTGTAATATACTCTGTATCGACAGGAGAGGGATATTTTTTTTACTTAGAATTTTAATAGGTTTGGTAAATTTAAATAAAACTTTTTTGGAGCAAATTTTAGACATTTTATGTATAAACTGTGGAATTGTGAACTATAAGTATTTAAAATTCAACAAACAAACTTTAAATTTGTCCTACGCCACACATATGATAAGTAAAAGTAAACAAGCAGTGTTTAATTTAACTAACATGGTGTGTTAATTTTGAAATGATTAAGATAAGAAACTGGTTACCTATCTTAATATGCGTATATTTAAACAAATATTTTTTAGAGGCCAAGAAATAAATTAGAAATTTCAGCATTCTAAAACCAGTGTCACATGATCGATCATTTGCCCAAAATTTGGTGTAAGTCGTATCCCAATCGTTTGAGGGCTCAAATATTTTTTTTATCCCAATTATGAAAAATAATTTTTTAAAATCGTGCGACTACAAAAAAAAAGTTATCGTCCCGATTTTTTTATATTTCGTGTGGCATTGCCTNCAAGTAAAAGTAAACAATAAAATTTTTCAATATAAAATGGCTGTATTGTACCAATCGTGCAACTACAAAAAAAAAAAGTTATCGTCCCGATTTTTTTATATTTCGTGTGGCATTGCCTTAAGAACTAAACATTTCTTTAGGACGTACTAAAACAAATTAACACAATGATTTACGGAAACTGAATTTCATTAAAGCAAAATGTGTGTATTGTTGGTTATTTATGTTTAAATTGAAAAACTTTAATCTTTTAAAAACTCTTCGTTTTTGAAGATTACAGTTTTTTGCTCGAAAATATAGTGTTTTTCCGGAAATTTACAGATTTTTAGAAAAACCTTAATCTGGCAACACTGCTGCAGACATATGTTTATCTACCCATTTTGTGTACACAGTAAGCGCATAGCAAAGCGCATAAATAAACAAACTTTTATGTTAAGAAAAGTACACTGCTTACGTACAACTGGAACCGGAGCAACTAGTTTCCAAATTTGTTTTTATGCTATCGACCACATGTTCACATTACACTCCGCCCAACTCTGCCTATATGCAGTTACGTAGTTTTACAGCTAGGAGGATTTTTGTCGCCACTATCTGCTGCGGGCAAATGCGTCCTTGTTGTTGATTTTGTGTAATCAGAGTTAATAATTGAATTAATTAATTGAAATTCGACAAAATGTCAACATAAAACTATTTTTCGTTTCAATAAGTAATCACCGACAGCTGGCAATTATTTCGCTAATCAAATATCGCTCGTGTTCTCATGTAAAGGCAGCAAAACACTGCAATGCGTCAAAACGCATTTCCAAACTTATAAACCAAGTAATTTTGCAAATATGTATTTATGTTTATACTCATATGCTGCAATTTCAAAGGAATTTCGCAATTATAAATATTCATAGTAAAATTTTAGCTATTTCCACCAAAATTTTAAATTAGCATGAATGCATTCAGCCCAAACTAAAAAAATGTTAACATGAATTGTTGAAAGAGAATAAAATTGCTAAATGTTTCAAGAACATTTCCTAGAATAATAGTAGCATAGAAATTTCAAAAAGATTTTTTTATCATGTATACATATGTAGCGGTTAGGGCTTTTACTTAAAATACTTATTTATTCAAAATTCAATATTATAAAATAATTTATTTTAATTTTAAAATTTACGTTAACCACGAGCGCGTATTATTGTGTCGACGATCTCCGAAAAAAGGGAAGAATAATTTATCAGCATGAATATCAAAAAGCAATATCAAAATCTTGCCACATTAGGTTCATTCCTTATCTTTTTGGACTAAAATCTGAAAAGTGTCAAAATGCCAGAGCGTAAGCAAAATGCGCTCACTAAAAGAGAATAACAGGAAAAGTAAAGGAACGCAAAAAACCAAATTTTTAGTCCAAAGAATGGCAACAACAAAACTAACGTCAAATAAGAACAGAAATGTATGTACAAAACACATTCACACAAGCACAAGCACAATAAACACTTGCTATATCAATTATTTTTTGCCTCCTTCCAATTTCAATTCATTTCTTTTACTTTTTAGATTATTCTCACTTTTAGCGTATTCTTTAATTTCCGTTAATTTAAATTCAGTTGAGTTTGACACTTTTCAGGATTTTGCCAGAAAAAATTCTTCTGACTAAATCTGACTACTTCGGACTGATGAGAGTCACTCTCACTGACTGTTGCTCTCTCATTTTTGCTGTCATTTCCGAGTTAAGGAACGCTTTTTGGACTAAACCTGACTAGGTACTTCGGACTTTTTCCGACTATTTCTGGGAGATAAGGAACGCTCCTATTATACCAATCAGTAAAAATTAATAAATAATATAACAATTAAGTAGGGGCACTAGTCGCTACAGTACTCCCCTTGATTTGAAAAAAGGAATAAATTTACAAATTTGTAATTAAAATACTATGAATATTTTTTTGTTATAATTTGCATTGTAATTTATTGCTTTTTAATTTAACTGTTGCGGCCTGATGTGAAGTCATCGTCGTTGTTCCGGTCGATAACTACTGTTCGATCGAAGCATCCTCAGCAATGTATACTGGCCTGCCTACTTAAATAGCAGTGTGATTGTCTCTGTAGTCCACGATGAAGTATTTTTCATGACGTGTTATCGCTTTATATGGAGCCTCGTACGGCGAGAAAATGATCATTGTGTACCAATAAGTGAGAGCAGATCTGGAACATACGGTCGTATGTATAACACCTGCGGTAATGTCACAGTCTGAATTTTTCGGAGAATTAAGGCTGCTGATGAATTGCTGACCAGTAGCTGCAGTTTTGCATCATTAAGTTTTGCAGATTGAGTTCTTCATTTGATATAGTAGCAGAAATTATTTCCTGACACATACCTTATGTCAGAAGTGATTTGGCAGATGAATTCTAATCGACGAAACTGCCGAGGTGAACCTCGCTCAGTGCGCTGCCTAAATGCGTGTGCAATGACTTGTGGTCTGTGTATATGTATGATCACATGCCGCCCTTCAAAGATTTGTCCAAAATGTTTCACCGCTTCGTAGATGACTTGCAGCTCACGGTCGTTCGTCGATAGTTATTGTACAGAGGGCTGTAGCTTTTTGCTGAAAAATTCCAGTGGTTGCCACGTGTTGTTTACACACTGCTGAAGCATAGCACCGAGATGAATAGTTTTCTCTAATTACTTCTTATTTACACCGCTTTCATCACTTCCAATGGTACTGTTTTGTATTTCATGCATTATTATTTAGTTAAACAGGACCACAAGAAGTCGTGGAGTAGGCCTCGCACGGAAAACACGTTAAAAAACGCCCCCAAAACACTACCCCACAACTACAGTGGAAATAATTTGCATATTATGGAGACCACAATTTTTTAATTCGCTATATTTCAGAAATGGTAATTCGTAAGAAGAAAAATATTATAACATCTACACTTTTGTCTCACCTTTTTTTGTGATAAACCATACGATTTTGCTAAAAAAAATGCAAGAAAATAAATTTTTTTTTGACCTTTGAACTTGAATAAATTGTTTTGCAGCTTTATGCGAATCATTGTAACCTTGAATGTCTAACTTGACCGGGCTATCATCATTTTTTAAATTTTAACCACCAAAATCAACAAGTTGTAATCGTCGTTCTTACGTCCTACCGCCATTTACAACGATTTTTATTTTTCGAGTTTAACCAATAAAGGTTAAAAATAATAATTAATATTTTTCGATTAAAAGTAATGATTATTTTACGATTCTTATTTTTTCACTGAAAGTTAATTACTATGGAGTTTTATTTTTTCACAGAAGAAAAATGATCATGAAATCAATAATAATTTATATTTTTAAGCGGAACCAAATCATAAAGTAATGATAAATTGCTGATTTAAATAATTTACTCATAATGATTACCGAAAACCCGTTTGGGAAAAAGTGCAAAAATCTCACAGCCTAATGCCAATGTGAGGCAACCGCAATAACTCAATCTAACCTACTCCAAAAAAATTTGATGTCAATTAACAAAATCAAACATATAAAAATCACACAATTCAAAACAAAAAACCTAGAAAAATTTTAAAAGTCCGTTAAAAAAATCACATGGGAAATGTCAAACGCCTGCAATCGCTATAAATTACTGTTAGTAGAAATGAGCGCAAAAGTAGCAAAAAAACCACAAACGGAATTGGAAAATTGAACTCATAAAATAGCGGATGCTCAAGCTAAAGCTGCAGGCGGCATTTATTTTAAACTCAGCATTGAAAAACGTTACTGCTGAGTAGAATAAAAACTAAGTGATTCAATAAAACTGCAGTAAAAATGATATATTTACCTTGATTTTTTGCTTTGCTTTGACTTCAATTAGATTATCGATTTTGCAATAGTTGTGAAAAACCGCACAACTTATGGTCGTTAAATCGTAGAAAATTTGCAGAGCTCAGGTTACTTGATTTCCAATGTTTATCAGTTACGCATGTATGTATGCAGGAGTATATTGCTTAATAAATACTCAATATCTGTTGCATACTATACATACAGTCTATGTACATATGTATATTCACATAACTACGTATGCACATATCAATTTAAACTGTCATTTTGCATATCCACCTTTGGCCACACAAACATACTTACATACTGTATGTGCGTAACATATGTATCATGCATATGTATCTGTATTAGATTTCATAACAATTTTATTATTAAATATATTTTGTTTCACATTTTATTATTGTCATCTTTCTCATCGTCTCTTTTTGCAGCCATTACAACATACGAAATACCACCCGGCCACAGCAACTATGGCCCCCCCTCAAAGCCGCCAACCTATAGCTCAGCAACGCATCAATACTTGCCACCAGGGACGGGCGGTTACAGCGGCGGTGGCGCACCGTTTAGCAGCGGACATGCGGCATTTGAAGCGCCCGCTAGCAATTATCTGCCCACTGGCTATGCCAATGAAGGTTCGTAGTTGCAAAGAAAGCAAGCAATAAAAAAAAAAGAAATATAAAAAAAAAATTAAAAGCTAAGGAAATAAGATTTGCATGAGCTGTTGCATATCGTCGTCTTGTTGCCCCACTTGCGGAGCGCCTGCTGGTTAATGTTGCACTGTCGGCAAATCTTGTAGTCAAAGCTCCAATTTACACATATAAAGCCCGCGACAAAATGATGGCACCTCAACATTTTGACCAGTTCTGCACATTTTTTTTATTTGCTTGTTCTTTATAATTTGGATTTCTAGTATGTACTATAGTGCAAAAGCGTGTGCCTGTTAGTTTTTGTTAAATATTTACAAGGTTTTTAAAGTTCAAATTTTTTTTTGTTACCTTTTTATAAATACGTAAAATACATACAAATCACACTAAATATTTTCATACAGAGGTTTGGAAAATTAAAATAAATTTCATCAAAATTTTGTCTAAATTTTTAGAACATTTTTGGGTATGCAGTTTTATAGGTTGTTAAATATAGTAAAAGTTTTAAGCAGCTAAAAAACCGCATAGATTTTTAATATATATATGTATACATATCTATTTTTTTTGCATAGTACTAAAATTTAATAGGCTGTAAACGTGCATATCCAAAAACTTTCTAACAACTCAAAACAAAAAGTTCAAAATTTAAAATAATATTTGTTGAAAGCTCTGTATAAATGCGGAAAGGTTGATTTATACGGTTTTGGTTAAAACATTACCCATATTTTTATAAAAAATAACAAACAAATGTTTACAATAAAAACCTTGCAAATATTTAACATGGGTATGTAAGTAGTTTTATAACCCACTAAATTTTAATATGATAATGTGCAGATGTGAAGTTTCTGAAAAAACCCCTTAAGCTTTAGATACTTTTTTTTACTTTCGTTGTTGTCACTTTACTTATATGGAAGCAAATGTGTGATCATCAGCAAAGAAAAAAATCAAAATTCAACGGAACTTTTCACTTCAAACTTGCACTTTATTATATTAATATTTAGTAAACTATAAAACTGCATACGAAAAATTGTTCAACGAATTCAAATAAAAACCTTGGAATTTTTATTCAATCGTATGGAATTTTTTCTAATTTCTGTACAAAACGTGAAATTCGGATTTATATGGTTTTTGTTAGATAATGAGCTATGATTTTTTTTTTAAAAAAATATTTATAATAATTAACATTAAAAAATTGTCAAAACTGGTCCGAATTTTGAGGTGCTATCATTTTGTCCCGGACTTTATGTGCACGCTTATGTGTATGTGTGCCTATAAAAACTGCTTGCATATCTCTTTTGAATTGTTGTTGGTGTCGGGTATTGTGAACAGTATGGGTTTTCCATTATAGCGGAAATTTGTATAATCAAGTATCGAATTAATAGTTTGCTTATTACTTTTATTTTATTAATATGTATATAAATTTTTATGTTTTCACGCTTCAACTACTATAATGCACTCATAAAAGATGCATGTAAATATAGATGTACATACATATATACATACATCCATATGTATGTAGGTTAGGCTGTGCCGACTTTGTATGGGGTTAAATAAAAGGCATTTGACGGTTTTGAAAGAGTAATATTATGTTGCCTTGGGTCTAAGCCAATTGTTATTGGGCACGAAAAATTAATTTAAAAACAAAATTAAATTTCTCGCTCGTAATCTCTATGAAATGCGTTAATTGTTATAAACAGGACGATATATCAAATTAAAGGTTATGAAGTTTAGTATCCCAAGTTCATATATAATTTTTCACAAGACTAAATATTTTTAAAATATTAATGGTGATTTCGTCTCTTCCAAAATATGTGGCCCAAAAATGTGTTCGATGTTACACTCAACCCTGCAAAAAGGCATGTCTTTGCCTTCTTGTCCTTGTCTAGCTCACGCATTTCATAATATTGTCGTTTAAAACAACCATCTAATTTTCAGGACAACCATCTCCCCTGACAAAGATTAGCAGGGCAGTAAATGTGTCATCTTTGCTTTACAAGAGTTGGACATTTTAATAAACGGACACAAAATTTTCTCACCCTTTGCCTTTAATTTAAAATTGAACAGGAAAAGAAAAAGGACAATCAAAAGGTTACATTTTTTTGGTAGAAACGAAATCACCATAAGATAAAACTTACAAAAACGATAATTTTCCCTTATGAATTTTCAATTCTTCTTTACCTCAGCAACCAAGTGAAAAATGTAAAAAAGTGAGACGAGATTTATTCCAAATGGTCTTATGTTTTCGGACGTTTATATAAAATTAAAAGCACTATGGACTTGGTCACGCCGATTTGGTCAGTTATCAAAATTGTGGTGAATGAAATCAAAAACGTATTGTCGAAGATTAGGAATCGTTTGATAAGACAATAGTGGTTTCAAGCACATAAGTACATACATTATCGAAATACATTTGGGGTGAGAAACGCCCGTTTTAAGTCCATTTATGCAATCTTGAAAATTGGAGCGGAATGGTTTCATTAATCACCGAAGATGCGCATTTTTCGCGTTTTCTAAATTTGCCGTTATATGAAAGTAGGGGGTGCAATAAGTGTTTGGATATAAATAATTTAGTTAATTCCATTATGTGAAAAAGTGGCTGTAGGTAAATGCAATAGTCTTTAATTTATCCCGGGAAATCCTTTTGAGGACTCTCCAATTGGACGATATTGCTTTGCAATCAGCTTGAACGAAAAAAGTCACTCCCTGGCACACTTTTCTGTAATCTGGTTCATTTATTTACGAGTTATTTACACAATCAAAGAAAAGTTTTTGTAGAATAAAATTAGAGATCCACGTAAGTTTTTCGATATAACTTTAGTAAAAATTACTCGATCGATATTTACAAAAACAAAAAATGTTGAACAAAAATTTCTGTCAACTTCCTATATTTGCAATTTCTGTATTGTATGCATAAACTTAAGTAAACTAATTAGTTTTTCTAAAAATTGTGCCTGTTTAAAAAAAAAAAGTAGATTTTCGACCCGCCCTAATGTAAGTATAGAAAAAAACATTTAGTTGTTGGCGTAATTGGTGCGCAATGCATACATACAAAATATCCGATTTTGCATATACCCATATCTTTATGTATTTTTATTCATAATTTTTAGGTAGTGGTTAGTAGCAGTTGCGAGTTTTTATACTCGTTTGTCATATCGAGTTTACAAATTGTTAACAATTTTGCATAGCTTGTACGCCATGTGTGAACGCTGTTATTAACATAAGCATTTAGTTATACATACATTTTTATACATATGCATACATGCACATGAATATTGTTACATATGTAGATGCAAATTTCATTGGTTGCTTCAAATTAAAAATTGAAACTCTTATTTAATCTGGCACTTCCGCGTGGAAGGAAGTGATTTTCGGCAACGCTGATTATTATTCAACGATCGGTCAACGCATTCAATTCAATCTTTAGTTGTGTAGTGGCAGTAAATTAAATTGATTTTTCTTTACTATTTTTGTTTTTTTAGTGAAGCAATTAAATTTTTATAAATTTTATTTTTTACTTTTTAGTTATGTATGTACATAGCACACCCAGTGTGCCATGATTAAATTAAATACCACCAACAACTACTAACTACTAATACTTGGCAAATAAAATGCACATAACTGGGTTAAATATTTAACAAAAGTTAACGACACACAAAAATGCGCGTAAAGTTATGGGGGTACTGAATGTACATATTTCACGTAGCGTCAAGTATTAGGGTCTCCGTCACTTATCATGTTGTCTCATATCTTTCGGTCTCAGTCTAATATCTTCTCCACATTCTCCACTCAGCGAGTACTTCTGGTAGGCCAGCAATGGAGAATCTGCATACATAGATAATAAGCGAAGTGATTTTTTTTTCAGTTCGCTTCATTTTCAAAAACAAGATGTCAAATTAATAAGTAGGGTTTTACTTTTTCAAAAGTAGTTGCCACATATTAAACAATTTATTTCAAATTAATTAAATAGTTAACTCAATTATTACAATATGCGTATGAATCGACTAAACTCAGGAGGGTTGCCACTTGTTTAAAAATTTAAATACAACCTTAATTAAGACAGTTCTTCTTTTTCCTCTTGTTATTGAGCACCACAACCGCTGCGATTTAGATTGGCAGCTTATTAGGACGCCTTCCAGTGTCAGATTGAAAAAGTAAAACAATTTGGTAATTGAAATATGTATCAGAATTAGGGTGTTAGATGAAAAAGCTGGAGGTTTTCGTTTTGCATTTGCTCTTGGTTTTGGTTTTGTTTATTTTTTGCTATCTTTTTTTTCTATTCAAATTTTATCGCTTCAAACGAAAGCTAAATTTGTTTATGTACTTTTATTTTAATAATGAAGCATAGTTCCGGTGTTTGTATTTTAAGTGTTTCTCATGCAATTTTTTACAAAGTAAATTTAAAAGCACGAAAGAGATTAAGAAAAAGTGTCAATATGTATACATAAGTTATATATTGTTTATTTAAATTATGCATTATTCATAACTAAAAATTTATGTAGTTGTTCATTGTACGATATAAGTATATGTATATGTAAAATATGTGTGGCGAAAAAAGACCGATCGCATAGTCGATGTGCACAGAAGGGCTTATGTATACATTAGGGTGTTCGATTATTCCCCTTTTTTCCAAAACCGGTTTTCGAGTTATTCGGAAAATGGTAGTTTCAAAAGAACCGTTCCCGATTTTGAAATTAAAAAAAAAACGGATAAACCGATTTTATTTTATATAGTTTTCATATAGTAACAATGCTTATAAAGTCATGACCAAAACATAAAATAAAACTATTAACAGTAAACTATATCTAAACTTTAGTACTTACTTTACCAATCCTTACTACTACTTACTTTAGTAGGGTGTGAACATGGATTAGAGAAGGATTAGAAAGAAGAACCAGCTAACAGTAGCAAGAGTTTTTATTTTTGAAATATTGAATTGTGTCGTTATGGAAGAGGACCATCAACATGAAGATGTATTGAATTTTGTTATTAAAAGACAAAAATCATAAATATAAAAATAGAATAATCGAAAATGTTTCCATTGAATATATTCCGAGGAATAGATAACATTCCCCTTTTTTTTTGAAGTAGGTTAAAAATAGAGAAAATTGACGAACAACCTTCTTCTTCATCAGTGCAATAACCGCTTAACTTACTTTAGACGGGTGTAATACAGAACGCCAGTTGCATAAGATTTTATATATTCACCAACTCTTCACTGCTGTACTTGAATAGCTCAGCTGGCAGGCCGTCATCTCCAGCAGCTTGATTGTTTTCTAACTTGGAAAATGGATATTCGTACTTCGTTATAATTGGTTAGGAACATACATAGATTCCATCGCTGTCGATAGTGTAAGCACACTCTGGACACAGTACACTAGAACGGTCTTGTTATTCTTACATAAATTCGTTCCTGCCTTGAAACCTTGCTTTTCTAATTGGCCAACCACTCAAGCTCTTTGCACTCATGTATTTTGGCATCTCTTGTTAATTCGCAAAAACATTTGGCTTCCCTCTTCAGTCCCCAATATCGATCCGGCATCTTTTTCTCTGCAGCTTCTTTATATTTCTTAGCCTGAGAGTCCCGACAAGACGAAACTTCCCAAAACTCTAATACGTTGAAAAAATGTTTCTTTTAATCAACAATTAAGCACACACATGCCGCTTAAGTGTGTTAATAAAACAAAACAAAAATACAGAAGTTTCGGGTAGGTTTGACAATTCGGCTTTGAGGAGCTCATAGGAGCTTTCACTGAAATGTCTGGTAGGATATTTGGTTAAATCACAAGAAATTTACCAGATAGTCTCCTTTCTGGGGTTGTTCTTTTGAGCTTGCTAAAATCCGACTTATTTTTTTTACGACAGTACGTATTGGAGAGAAAATTTGGCTGCTCTAATCGCATATATAGATTCATTGACAAGTATGCTCAGGATGCATGTGCGAGAGACGAGTGCTGAAGATGCTGCGTGTCCGCAATAGTTGTGCTTCTTATCGTACGAAGTTCTCTGCCGTCATCACAGTATGGTTAATTTTGGTTTCTTATTCTTCGATACGAAGAGAGCCATGTGGCTTAATATATCTTCTTATGCTAAAACCTAGTGCTGCAGACTTCATTGCCCCCCGGCGAAGTCAATCCACCCTAACCTTTAAATCGCCAAGCAAGATTTAGGCGATGTCTCTGGTTGCCTTGTACCAAGGCGAATTTATACAAGGTGGTGTTACTGTGTTTGTTGTAATATAAATTCGCAAACACATCGTTTTGACATTCAGAAGTACCGCGACGAAAATCAAAATTCGCCAGTAACACCACCTTGTACACATTCGCCTTGCCTTGTATTTTTCTCCCATCCGGCGTGGACGGAAATGAGCCAGACGTTAAATAATTTCGCTTTGATGCGGATTGCGTCGAGGCGGTCATCCCACGTGCCGGTCGACAGTAATTAACAGTGAGTTCTCTTCTCCACCACAAATTTAACAGCGAAATGCGCTTCTTTATAAATTCATGTGCCTGTCCGCTCACCCAAATTTGTATATATATTTTTTTATATTTCATCATAGATACTCATATCGATGGCCCTCTGCAATAACGACACAATTCAAATAAAGAAAAAAACCCTTAAGTGTCTCACGTTTCTAATCCTTAACTGATCTATGTCTAATTCTTAAGAATTACTCAAGTAAAGAGTAATGGTTTTTTTAATATTCAGTCCCGTTATTGCAGAGGGGTTCGTCGAAATTATAAGTGAATTTTAAAGTTTGTGTCGCTTATACTAATAAATAATTTTAAGTTTATCTTCACGAACTAATCACTGTTTGATGCAAAACTAATGAAATTTGTATAATATGTCGCATCAAATTTGTACAAATAAGTATGTAAATCTTCTTGTACATAAGCCCCGACTCCGCAAATATGACCTCTAGGAAGTGTTAAATGTAACAAAACTTAGACACACACATACCCACAGCCGCATACAAATCCATTATTCTGTAATCATTACCAACACTGTACATATCAATAAAAGCGCTAAACTCGAAGGGCCACTTTTTAAATGTCTAGTTAACACTAACTACAGGTTAAACATCACTATCGACTCCCTGTTATATGTTCTGGAGCGGATCACGTCGATAACTATGTTTTACCTGCAGTTAGTGGTAAACACACATTGAGCAACTGGCCCTTATTCACTCTATTCATACTCTATCGGCCATCACAATTCCATCCAAAATATGAGTGAGTAAGCACACAATGTACTTATACATACATACACACATTCCTAGGTATTCACAAACATATAGAGCTTGCATACAACATGCAAATGAAATTTTTGAACAACAAAATAATACCTACTCGTACTGAAATAAAATTGAATTTGTTTTTANGCAATTTACTTATACATACATACACACATTCCTAGGTATTCACAAACATACAACATGCAAATGAAATTTTTACACAACAAAATAATACCTACTCGTACTGAAATAAAATTGAATTTGTTTTTAATGCTTTCTGTTTTCCATAAAATCACACAAACAATCAAAACTGCAACATCACACCAACAACGGCAACGCATTAATTCACAAACGCCACGCACACATACACACCACACAAAAACACACTCATCGGTGTGCGCAAAAACCTACAGGAAACGATGACTTCAACATTTATGGCCGCCATCAGAAACTTAGCGAAGCGGATACACGCAAAGCTGCTGCGCAACTACAAGAAATCCTTAGCCTGCTGCCTAATGGCAAAACAGAATTCACCGCATCGAAAACAGTCGTGCTGGACACACACAGCCACTCGCCACACACCGGCCCAGGTGCTGAATTAACAAATGAGAGCGCTGACTTGCATACATATGGCTTGCAGAATGATTTGGGACCACTGGAGTCCCTTTCACACACCGAGTCCATAACAGCAGCATATGGCCAGCGGCCAGGTAATGCGCCAGAAAATCCTGCGGACATTTATCGCCAAATGGCTAAGAAGCAAACGGCGGAGGAGATTTACATACAAAAGCACCCAAATGAGGGTTATGACTATCGGCCAACGAATCCACCAGCAGCTAGCAATGGCAATCAGGGTGGCGGTTATCACTACAACAATTATCATGCAACAAGCAGCGCGTTGAAAGATCTGACACCCATTATTGCAGCTTTAGAGGTGGCCAAACGGCGTGGTACCACACAAGCTAACGTGAGTAAACATTTTGCCGTTGAGAAGAGCGTCTACAAAGTAGATCCACGAACGGCAGCTAAGTCAAGCAATCAATTCAAATATCTGGCACCTTCTGTGCAAAAAACAAAGCATATATACTTCGATCCAGCGCAAAATAAGGCTGATAATGAATATAGGCCAACATATGTGCCACCACCACCACCATCACAACCACAACGACCGCAGGCAGTAGCGTCCGGCTCCGCACCATCAGCTGCGGTAGCAGCGCCGTCACATACGTACGCCGCACAACAACACTCTGTCGCATATGCAGCTCAACAGGCACCTTCACTTACCGTACAACATGCGCCGGCTGCGTCATCTTCCTCCGCCTCGTCCTCCTCCTCCTCCTCTGCCTACAAGGTGCGACGTCAAGTGCCGTCGGGCTCTTCGATTACAGCGCTCAAGGTACAGTCCAAACTGGGGCCGTACTTCAACCACCACGACTACGAGATAAATGATCCGCTCATGTTCAATCGCATGTTGTTGTTTTAAGTGAAACGGCGTAGCGATCGGCCTACCCACACTGGGTTAAAGGAGCACAACGAAAGCATTACAAATTGCATTTTTCTTATACATATATATTTATTTATTTATTATTTATTTATTTAATTACACTACAATTTCATGTAAAGTAGCTTAAGTGAATGAATGGCTTTGCATTTATCGGAACAGTTGTCGATAATAATCGAAACAAATATATTTATTGTCAATAAAACCGTCAGTCATTAGTAGTAGGTCTGAAAAGAAAAAATAACAAAAATATATCTACATATGTATGTATTGACAACAACATAATTCGATAGAGTGTATTCATCTAGTTTCTTACTTTGAAAGTATGTAATTACAAAGAGATTTTGAAAAAAAAAAAGATATTAATATTGGCATTTATTTGCGTATGTCACCCAACCATTTTACACCTGTAGCTCCTATCGTTAACTCTGCACTTTCACACTAAATTCTCCTTCTATCTCACTCCCGCACTTAGTTTAGTTTTTGCTCCGTCATCCTCAGCCGAACCTCACTTCTTTAAGTGCTTCATTTAACTAATTCTTACAACCCATTTACTTACATAAATAGTTCTTTTTAAAACGTCATCTTCTTTACAGAGTTCTACTATCAGTAGTAAAGTGCATTCTCTGTTTCAAGTTCCAATGAATTACACGAAAATCTTATAAACTATATACAACTGGAATCCAGGATACATAACGTGGGTGTCATGTTTTCGCTTGCCTGCCACTTTCTGTTAATCTGGACCGCAACAGCCTGATGTCGAATCGCCTCTGCTCTGCTCGCCTGCGTACTTATGTATATGTGGAGCCGACTTTCGCGTCCCTTTCTTTTTACTAAAAACCTTTAAATTCGATTATTTACGTATTTTTTGCATCTTTGTTGGTTTAAGTATTTATTATTTTAATATTGTGCTGTTCTGTTTAAAAAATAGTTACATGTATTGCTACTTCATTGTTCGTAAATATTGTACAATAAATGATGAAATGTGTATGTATGTATATACTATATATAAAAAGGGAGAGTTGTTTTTCTTTTAGTGCCTGAAAGTAGGCAATACATATTCGCCGCACACTACTTTAGCGTACCTTGTGTAAGAATCAAAACAGTTTGAAGGCCATCGTATTTACTGCTGATAAAGCTTCTGCGACGGCGCACTGTGGCTATAATAGCAAACAATCTTAAAAATCAAATATCTATGTATGTAGGTAAACATGAAAACTAAAAAGAGGAAATATGTACTCGTATTAAAAAGAGTTTTCGTAAAAAGAACTTACCACAGGTACGGTTGCCACTTACTTCTTTTTTTGCGTACCAAAAAGAGTACAAAAACAGAAAAAATTTACCAAAATGTCTTTGAACTCTTTTTTTCATTGGTTAGATATTTTCCAATGCATTTTGATACATTTTTATTGAGCCAATTTTTTGAGTGTTTTGTGAGCTGGCCACACACAAATTTACTCCATCCTTAGGGCATTTATGAAATTAGGCATTTTATAGGATGCCATGTTCCTAATTTTAGGCAGAACTTCAAGTCCTGTCAGGTAGTCTGTGAAATCTTCTCGACTAAAATCCAGAAATCATTCCACGATTGCCCTAGAGGATGTTATAAAGTTTTCAGGATGCATTTTCCCTTAGGAGCTCAGAAAGGCTACATAACTCTATTGGGACCATATAAAACCCGTTCTGACCCAAGTAATTTTAGTTCTGTCCGTCCCCGGTACCAGCATTGCCAACCTCGAGCACACATCACCAGCATACCACACTCTGACAGTATCCCTTTCAAGAATTTTTACCTTGTGGGGCTAGTTACGGTATCATTTTGTCTGTGGGTTTGATCCACAAGGAGTGGTTTTAAAACCATCAATCGCTTATGAAAGTCTCTAAGTCTTGTGTTCACGAAGCTTCTGAAACGCAAAGCGTTCCGGTGTTGTCAATAAGTATGGGGGTAAAGATTCCCAGTTCTTTCGTTGGGCAGGTGCGCATGGCTCCTGTAATGGCTGCACAGACTCATCAGTAAACTTCCCCAGCGCCATAACCAGTTCGCTTGACTTTTGGCCACTAGGCCAGTGCTACATATGTGATAATCGGTTTTGTCCATACAATGAGTGATCAAAACGTCAGTTTGGGCGAGATATCCCCTATGTTTTACCATTACGTCTCTAATAGCGTTGTTCCAGGTTCCAGTTGGGCCTTTTGTTCAGAGTTATTCATAGATATTTCGCGTCTGACGATATCCAATTTCCGAAATTCCCGATGAGGGTTAAGTTAAGTTGACTTTCCGTCTTGTGGTCAAGGGGTCGTTGGTGGACTTTAGTGGGTTTATTAGAATACCCTTTTCAGAGCGCCACTTATCCGTCAGTTTTAAGGCTTCATCGCAGTCCACCACGTAGATGAGTATTAGGAACATTCATTCTTGTCATGGCCTTGGATTTTTCTTCGCATGATGCGCTATCAAACACTGCTGAAATATCAAGGAAGGCGCCTTTTGAATAACCCGGGTTTAACGGTATATTGCAGTGATAGTAGATTTCGCTGTTTGATATGCTTGTTGGAATTCACAGAAGTGTTACACCTTTAAACAAGGAAATATATGTGATGTAAGTAATAATTACCTCACTTTACCAAATTTCAAAAATGTAACAAATCTGAAAGTTATTCACAAGTGTACCAAACTGGAAAAAATTGACCAAAAATGGTAAATTTCAGCCAAAATAGCAACCGTGACCAGAGGTCGGCAAGAAGGGTTGGCCCCTCACGATTCCGATTGCGTGCAAAAGCCCAGAAAATGTGTAGTAAAAAATAAAAAATCGCTTCAAAATAAACAATTTTTTTCAACCATATGAGTACCAAATGGATCAGAAAATTGAGTAGAATTAAAAAAAAATATAAATTTGTTAACCAGGTTAGGTATTGAAAATGACGAAATTCGAGGATGTGGTCGAGTGTATATTACTCCTTTCACTGATATTCAAACTGTTTTTCTACCTTTCGCAAAATTTTTTATATAACTTTTTGAAGTCATCACATTTTTCAAATTTCAAATTTCTTTAAAAAAAACAAAGACGTCAGGGAGAAAAACAAACAAAAATGCAGTTTTACTATATTTGGCCCATGGCTTCGCAAATATATAGATTTCTTTTTGTGTAAATTTTACTGTCGCTATTTACTATGTTTGACTTTTTTGAGCAGTGCCATTAAGAATATGGTAATTCCGATTTTTCCCCGCGAGTATGTAATATGCCAACGAATTTGTCTAAACCCCAAAATTTGTTTCCATATCAAGTACATTAATTATTTTCGAAAGTACTGAGGTAAGCTGCAAAAAGTATTTAGTTCTATTAGTTTGTTGTCTGGAAAACGTCACCGCAAAAGATAATTTTGGGTACTGTATATTTTTTAAGATCCTTTTACCCTATAATGCTTCCTTATTCCACTAAGTTCCAATACCCTAATTTTTTTTTCTTTCAACTGGACTAAATGTTTATGTTGATAACTTATATGCTATGGGGAGATGAAATATTTGAACTTAGTAGGCTAACGAGGCATTCCAGGATAAAAGGATCTGAGAGATTTTGACCACAGAGTTTCGTTTTCGCCCACTGTGTGGCGTTGCAACCATCCAATCTATGTATACTAATTTTTCTTCTATCCTCATTCGTAGGCCTTTTTCGTCAGAAAGGGAGTATATTTACTACGTTTTACCCCAGCGTATCCCCAAAGTGGGTTAACGTTTTTTTTTTAAGTACAAATCGACAAGAAGATTTTCTCATTCACATAACTTGGAAAGTTTGCGTAGACAAGAACAGAAATCATTTACTGGCAATTTTACAAAGATTTACAATCTCAGTTTCTCGATTTTATTAAAATACTATACACATACATTTACAAAACTCCGAAAAGCCCACGTTGACTATCCGCTCAATAGTAACCAAATGAAATATCATGCAAAGGCTGGGCATTGCCTTGTGGTAGAGCATAATCTCGCGCTAATTGATCCAACAAACTGCCACCACCGCCACCAGCGCGTCCCTGCGCCTGCGGTTGATGATTGATCTGTGGTTGATAGCGGGGTAGCGGCGCTGGTGCGGCCTGTTGCACCGGACGTGTCTGCGGCGCTGGTCCAAACTGATCCAATATGGGACGACCACCGGATGGCGGACCTAAGAAGTTGTTAGCGCGTGCACTGGCGGGGGCAGGTTGTACCGGTGCGGGTGCATAGACGGGTCGGGAGATGCGTACATTTGATGGGCCACCGCCAAAGTTCTGTGTGTATGAAAAATAAATGAAAGAAATTATTAAAAAAAAATTCGTACCCAGAGATAGTATGCGCCCGCATACCTGTGTCTGTGAATAATCCGGTTCAGGGCGTGCTGGACGTTGTAGTGGTGAATATAGGACGTCGGTGGAACGTTGCGCACCTGGCACTTGTATTCTTGGTGGCGCTGGGCCGGCGGAAATTTGCTGTGGCTGTGGTGCATATTGAATGCGGCGTGGTGGCTCTGGTTCCTGCTCAACTTCCTCTTCATATTGGAAGTATTGTGGCTGCGGCTGTGGTTGTGGCTGTGGACGTGGTGCAGGTACAGGTGCAGGACGCGGTTGCTGCGGGCGTGGTGGACGCTGTAATATGTAGAAAGTTTGAGGATAGCTACAGTTAAACTAAATTGCGTTTGTATTCTCACTTACATAGGGACGCTGGGGACGCACAGGTTCATCTTCATAGTCTGGCTCCTCCTTTGCTGTTTCATCCACTAGCGTGGGTGGCGCTACAGTGATACCTTCACCAGATGGCTGGAAGCCATATTGATTTGCGCCATATTCCACGACGCGTACCTTGCCGGTTTCATCCACATAACCATATTTGCCCTTCACTTCACCGGTCGCCAACTTTGTTTCGATTTTGAATGAGCCATCTGCGCCCTCATAACCATAAGTGTAGGAACCGTCTTCATTGTGTCTGCAGAGTTGAAAAATAAATCAAGATTTTCTCGAAATTGACTGCCTTTCGGGTAACTTACTTGTTGATTTGTTTCAGAATGGGCACGGGTGTGGGCCGTGGGGCATCTACCACACCGGCGTTGGGACGCAGTCTTATTGGTGCAGGACGCGGGGTATTCTCCTGGTAGTCTTGATAGTCCTGGGCAATGGCCAGACCATATAGCAGCGTGAAAAGTAATAGGCGTTGTAACTGCAAAGAGAAAGAGTAAAATGTTTCCGATAAGAAAAAAGTGTTTAGTAAATGTATTCAAGGCGCTGCACAGTGGTGGTTCGGCGCGGAATATACAATTTTTTTAAAATTCAATTTTTATTAAAAATTAATTGAGATTTTTGTTCATTTAGGTAATGTGTTATTTTTGTAACGTTGTTTTTATTGTTTTTGTTGTAGGTTGATATGAAAATGTAGCACTTACTTAGTAGACAAATTAGAGAAAAAAAATACACGTTACAAATGCTAACTTTGACACTTTTATGGACAAAAACTTCATCTTCCTTCCCCTTCCTACTATTTAAAAAAAAAAAATTGGCTCATATTTGCGACTTTTAACGTAACCCCATATAGTACTGATGGCAGTTATGGTATTTTTAAGGCGTTTTTGGGGTTAAGTTTGCATGGGAGGTATATGTTAGAATAAATCGATTACTCCTATTTTTTGGATGTTTAGTTATAATATTATTACTAACATATGGACAAAATTTCCGAATAATATGTTCATCGGTTCACTTTTTACACGTTTTTGAGGTTAGATTTATTTGGGAAGCATGCTTTAAAATAAATCGATCATGCCAATTTTTGTTTTTTTTTTTCTTAATTTATGTCTATACATAAATGTTTCATACCGAAAATTCAGGTTCTACGGAGATATATGGGGCTGGAGCATTCCTCCGTATGCAGCAGTCCACGTAAGTGTGAAATACTTTTGACCACCATTCATCTGCGAGTGGCCAGAAGCGATTCTGATGCGTACGGTGCAAATCCCAGCTCACAACGTCCGGATATTTTTATCCACGTGTCCTTTGGGTAGCGACCAAACACGAGTTTGGGAGCGAGCTAAGGTGAGAGAGCGTAAAACTTCGAGTGCGCTGGGTTTGGGTACCGCCACGTTAAAACCCCACCCAATGAAAACGAATAAACAGCCTCGGATGAAACCCCCTTCTCCTGATGACGACCACGAAAAACGTATTAAAGCCTATGATTTGAGAGTATGCACCTGGAAGACCCGGCCCCTTGACAAAGGCTGTAATCATCGCCATCCAATAAATGCGATCGTTGGGGCAGGGTAAGGTAAGCCTTGCGATGTCTCTACAGTTGCCACGTAAAGGAGCGCAAATTCGGTCTTGGATTCATAGTTGGAGAAAGACTGCGTCGCCGATAACCGGCCAAACCTTGGAAAAGACTCACGAGAAAGGGATCAACACTCAAAGCCGCTTTTGACAGCACTAAGAGGAGTTGTTTATACGCCGCGATGTGTGAATTTGGTATCCCCGCGAAACAGATTCGGCTGTGTAAAATGACAACGAGTAAGGCCACCAGCTCCGTCAGAATTGGGAAGGACCTTTCCGTGGTTTCAGAGAGGGTGACTTTCTTTCGTGTGATTTCTTTAATCTGATATTGAAGAAAATTATAAGAGCCACAGTACTGAGCTACTCAGGTACAACACTTTTGCTAAAGCATACAATTGCTGGCGTATGCTAACGAATGGCTGGGGCACTTATTCGACTTGGTCCAAATCGCTCAGGCAGTTACAGCGCCAAACAAAAGGAAGTGTTAGGAAAATTGAATTCGATTATCTTATACATATGTATGTATGACCTGCTATGTATATGTCGGCACTCAAACTCAATAAGCGTAATTATTCACAAAGAACAAAAGTTTAATAAGTTCATTAATCAAAAATGGCACAGTGCCCACAGTAAACAAATCCTTGTGCTATACTATTAACAAAACAAAAAAAAAATTGATTAATTCAATTCGCACCATTTGTTTATATGTACATAGTGTGGTTTATTATGCGTTGGGTTTCTTTTCTTCTGCGAATTCCATTTAAACATAAAATTAGCCATGGTAGTGCACTATGGCGATTCGAGCTATTTCCGGCAGCTGTAATGATACCTTACCTTACTAAATATTGTGTGCGTATTGTTTTTCAAATATGTAGGTATTTATGTACCTAACTATGCATGATTTATGGATTGCTTTGATTGCTTTCGCATTAACATGTGTGTTTGAAGCCAACATACATGCATGCACACACATTCCCAAGCACACATGAAATAATAAATAGCCCATTGGTGCTTCTTGGTTCAATGAAACTACAGTGGCGAAAATATAAGTAGAGAAGAGGAGAAATTTTAGCATTTGTTTCCTATTTTCCTTTCTTTTATTTAAAGTAAAATATTTGCATGTGAAAGTGTAGCTTATTATATAACAAAAGCTATGTTCGACAAAGTTACATACAAATTTAGAGTTTTTTAATTCGATATCTTCGATACATTCTGAGTATGCAGTTTTGTAGACCATTCAATTAAATTGTAAATTTGAAATAGCTATACTGCTGATGTTCAGCTTTTTTTTTTGTAAAAGTTCTTGCTTATTTGCTCCATACAAAAAAACAATAGTCGAACAAACTTTGTACAGAAGAAAATGGGTGAACAAAAAATAGCCAAAAATGAACAGTATGTCCTAGCTATTTCAAATTTAGCTTCTTTTGCATTAAAATTTAATTGGCTACAAAACTGTATACTTAAAAAGTTTTCAGATTTTGTTTTTTTTTTAGATATCAAGCTATACTTTCACAAAAAAAAATTATAATAATAATGAACATTTTTAAACAAAGAAGAATGCTCTAAACTTACCAAAATGTCTCTTCCCCAATTATATTTTTCCACTGTATTGTATTCATAGTTTTCCATTCATCAGTCAGCGAACGCTTTGTATTTTTAGTAATATTTTCATATGTACATACATACTTATATATTTGTATTTATACATATGTATGTAGTATGTATACTCGTATGTAATTAAATATAATCCCCATTAGAGTAGTCATATTTCTACGGTCGTCTGTGGTTTCGCTTTAAGGCTTCCTATACGTCGAGGCTTCTTTTTTACCATAGAGCTTTTAATGCTTTTCTTGAGCCATTTGAGCAGGTTTGCCGGCTCAACGCCCTTAATGGGCATTCATATGTACATATGTAAATATGTTTGTAAAAGGTACTTTCATGTTTACTATCACAAAAAAAAAACAAAAACACGCGAACAGGTATGGATAGCATTCGCTCTAATGGGATAGCTGCCAAAGTCTTTTAGGACTATCTGTGACTTGAAATTTTGTTCTTATTATAATTGATCGCATAGAGGATTTGCTTTGCCTTCTTTAAAAAATTACTATTTCATTAAGGACTCGCTGTATTATTTTATTTACCAGAAAGCGCACAGTGGTACTTCCTAATTATTAAAAGGGACTTTTTCGAACTCTTTTACACGCTGACCAGATATGCCTTACAAAAGTGTTATAGAACTCCAAACACTTGGGTGTTGCACGAAAAGGTCATCAGCTATGAGTTCTACCAAAGTTGTAGCACGAAACTCTAAACAAGCGGCTACGGCAGACACTGAAGTTTAGCTCTCAATAAAAAGGACTTATTAAATTTTCTCGACAGTCGTTCACTTGCTGCACAGTTCCCCTTTCATTATTAAGTTGTTGCCAATATCAGTAAATATGTCAGCGTAGAATGGTGTCAGCAACGCAAAGCAATCTTTCAAATTGGAACACAAAATACCCTCCGCACTAATTGCAATCAATTATATCTGCCAGCATTTCGTATACTACAATAAGGCGATAATAACTCTATTAGCATGTCAAGAACATGCGGAAGCTAACAGACGTTCGTGGGAGAGTGACCAAACCTTAAACGGCATATTCCTATAACTTTGTAAATAGTTTAATTTACTTTCTCACATTCCTGCAAACTCAAGCTGACACCGATGCAAGTAACAAACATAAATTCAAAATAAATTCTGATACCTTTGGAAATTCGCTGATTTTGTCGCAAGATGCCAAGGCTAAAGCCAGAGCGCCCATCTGATGTTTACGATAAAATACTTTTGGTTATAAAAATATGCTCTCGATTGCTTGGCGTTGACGTAACCTCCAAGGATTTCAAAGTCAATTCAAAAACTGCGTTTGTCATGGTAGCTATTTTCGCGTATTATCTTTGCTCTGTGTATACGATCAACAAATATATTGCTACGGATTGGACAGTGATGTTGGATGTCTTCTCACCCGTAAGCTGTAACGCTCAAGGTATGGTGAAATTGATGTCGGCGTTGCTGTACGCAAAGCTTTATCGTAAACTTGCTGTGCAACTTGGAGAAATCTATGAGAAATACCAAGTAATGGGCAAGAGATACGAGGAAAAATTGGTGGAATGGAATAGGAATATGAAAAGGATTTTAATTACAATCGGAGTTGCTTATTCGATAACGGCGCTAATAATTGTATGCACACCAGTGGTATTGTATATCCTCAAAGGCGAACGGCACCTGGTATTGTTATGTGAAGTACCCGGTTTCGATATTAATTCACCGCATGGTTATTGGGTTAATAACGGCTTTAATGCAATGTGTGTTCTAATAGCAGCCTTCGGATTATACGCTGGAGACTTGTATTTATTTCTTTATTTAACGCATTCAATATTCTTTTTTGATATATTCAAACTCAAAGTAAGTGACCTCCATGAAATGATAGAACAGAATGCTCATGATAAGCGCATAACCAAAATGGTTGATGACATTGTGGAATGGCATCAATTCTACTTAACGTAAGTGTCCATCGGATGGCTGTGTACTGCTTCAATTCACTAATGAATGCTTTGTATGTATGTATGTATATTTTCGTATTTCGATTTAACGCAGATTCAATGATAATTGCAATTTGCTATTCTTTTGGACTATCTCTGCGCATATTGTATGCACTACATTGGGCATCTTGAGCACCTTGCTCATAATCATGCTGAAGGATTGGCCCGGTGCTTACGTGTATATACTGGTCTGCTTTCTTTGGTTGTATATGTATTGCATCTTGGGTACACGCATTGAAACATGTGTAAGCATAAAGTTGTTGAACGTTGTCTTAGTTGATTTCAAGTGTTTGAATGTACGAATATGTTTCTTCATAGAATGATCAGTTTTGCTCTGGCATCTATGACATTAACTGGTATAGCCTTGATGTACGCAATCAGAAGGCCATTCGTTTGATGCTAATGCAATCGCAGGCGCCACGTAATATAACTATTGCGGGAATTGAGCCCTTATCAGTGAGCACAGCACTTAAGGTATGTTAGCATAAGTGAGCATTTCGGTGTAGTAACTAATAAAATCTATAATTCGTTGTTTTATTTTTTTGTTAATACATATAGATTACTCGTACGATTTACAGCATCGTCATGATGGTGCTACGTTTTCAAAATAAATAAATGAAATTCGAATAAATGATTACTTCTGACTTATTTCCTTAAAGAAATCTCTTCGGCTTTCGCTTATGTATTACCTGGGGCGATAACAAAAACCCTGATTAAACTCGGAGTCTTAACTGCTTAGTTAGGCTAATCTCCCGCATGCTTCACGACAAGAACTGTTATGACGGAATGGTGTAACGCCTCTGTCGAGATTAAGTGAGCAGGGGTACTCGGCAGGGAGGTGTTCATTTTTCACCCTTTCTATGGATAGTCGTGGTAAACGACGTCCTGGAAGAGTTGAAAAAGAGAGCCTGCCGAGTTGTTACCGTCAGGCGAATGTTCTTGCCTGCACGAGGGGCTTGAATTATTTACCAAGAGACATAAAGTGCTGCATATCCGGCCTCCCTTAATTGGGATAGTTGCACTGCACTTATGCTCTCTGACAGGGTCAAGTTTATGGACTTGATCCTGGACAGGAAGCGATTGTGGAAGCCAAATATGGAGAGTAGAACAAGCATGGCATTAGTGGCTCCCTAAAAAGCGGCCTTTCTCAAACGATGTTGTATTGGTTTTGTGAAACCGCAATCACTCCAGTTATGTTATATAAGGTCATTGTCTAGACCACGAATAGAAGGCAGCTCTCGTTGAAATCATCGGAATGCTCCGGATCACACCTACTCTACCGTTTAACGCTATGCTTAGTGTCGTACCTGTTGACATTGCGGGAAAATTTGCTACAGTTTGCTCTGCCATTAAGTTTAAAAGCTCTGGGTTCTCCTTCAACACGGCTTACGGGCACTCGACAATCCTCAAAATCTTTGACTTCGAACCGGAGAAAATGGATCAGAGTCTTCCGAGGCTTGCCCGAACAGATACTTAGCCAAACAGATTATATCAAGTAGCGAATGGGAGCATAACTGCCCCGGAGTAGAGGTCCTATAAATATCTTCGCGGAGCGATCGAAGCTGGATGACAGAGTGAAAGTTTGTTCTGAATCTGAGTTCTGTAGTCGGGATCTTTGCAGCGACTTTCAGCAGAGGCAGTCGATTGGCTACGCTCCCGTATTTTGTCGAGTAATATCATCATCAAATCAAAACCTTGGGATTACTCATGGTGCGATAGAAATTGGTAGCGGAATTCCTGAACTATATCTCAATCGCATCGGAGTATTTCCAAATTACTTCTTTTTGGTTGTTTGTGTTTTCGAAAGGGTAGGAGTATGATGTACTGCGGAACGATGTTCCGTCATCCCTTGTCAAATTTGTTTCGAGAACGAAAAATGGCACTGAAGATGGCACAACGCCGAAACCGGTTTGTCTCCAAACCAAATTTGACAAGGGATGGCGGAAAATCGTTCCAAAATACATCATTTCCAAATTAGCTGATTTGGGTCCCACGACCCATTGACATCACTGGGAATTGCAGGGCTGATGAATTGGCAAAGCAGGTTACCTTCCAGGCCATCTTCTCGGGCAAGCAGGCCACAGCAACTTGCAACTTGCAGCCTACTCCTTGACACATGGGCTCACAGTCAACTAAGCGAGCGCTGGGTTAAACCCGGCATGCATAGTTGCAAGGTCAATCAAGGTTTCGATTATCAAAGGTATACTTTCGGTGCGACTTAACGCCGTCACAAACCCCTTCTGTAGCATTCGCTTAGAGGGCGAGCTTGAATCATCTTTTTTCTTTCTTCTCAGTTACTCGGCATTCGCTATACACTAACGTTTAAACACCTCGGCGCTTATTTCATCAACACTCCCGATGCACTTTATTTTAAGCAGCCGTAAGCATAGTGGACGTATTTTTACGCGCTTAACTATGTCCATGTCATTATAGAGCTCCTTTCAACTTCTTCGGTGCACACTATCCCGAAATCCTTCTCATCTTTGATCGACATCTTCCTTTTTTCTGCACCATATATGTAAAAGGACGGGCATGATTAGGTAGGGAGCTCTGCTTTTCATTTGCTAACCGAACCCAAAGCAGCGCCTAATGGAAAGGGTTATTCTTCGCTTTATCTCCAGTCTGGCAATATTGGTGCTGTTAATGCTGCATATTTTCTAAACAAAGCCTTTCACTACTTCGTAATATTGGCCGAGTCCAAAAGAGCAAATCAGTCGTTTCTCTTATGTATCAACTGACGCCAATTCTAAATGCCAAGTGAAGCCAAGTCCTTCTGGACCTGGTATTTCCAACGCAGAGGAGGCCTTCCTCTGTTACCAGCTCGTAAGCATCGCGAGAAAGAACGCCGAAGTCAATCTCTATCCGAGTGAGCTTCAGACCTAATCTGTAGAGAAGGCGGCGAGCCTTTTACTGTATATCACGGTTCCAAACGGGAAAGCTGCTACCTTTGTCGGTATTCGAGCAGTAGAATACAAAATTGTTCAATCGGGGATTGTACAGAAATATTGTACCACCTTGGCATCACCGAACCATGTCAACCTCACGATTGGGTGGGTCACAGAAAATAACATATATATCATGTATTAAACGGAAGAATCGGCTGATGAGGGAGCAGACACGTTAGAAAACAGAAGAATACTTTCTGTAGCTTAACATATCCGTAGTAAGAGTCCTTACCGGCGTCTTTAAGAATCACTGCGATATTGCACTAATGATCCAACGATGGCGAAACCTATAAAATAAGGCTCTGCAGAAGCTGTTGCGATGAGTATAAGGAGAAATCATTTCGAGAGAGCAAAAAACGGGTTTGCTTTGAAGGCATTGCCTTTGATAGGTAATATCCTCTCTAGCTATTATTTAAAAAATCTGTTGTTTTAATAACGATTTGGGGTTCTAGGTTACCAAAATTAATTTTTCCACAACGGCGATCGACGATTTGACCACTTCGACGATTTGACCACTTCCTGCGTTGTCGGACGGACCTACAGCCGAAGCATCCTAAGCACTTGGGATCACGCTTCTTCAACCGTCTGGCGGTGATAATGCTGGTGGAGTTCTTGAATATCCTCAATTTCATTTGGAAGAGCAATTGTTTGAGTAGGTTACTTTGGAGTACTCAGTATCGACAATTTTGAAAAGCGGGTTCTGTTTTGAGAATCGAGGTCCGGGTACTTTTGGTATCGATACTGCCTAACACTAAAACAATTTCCTCATTTCTCTCAGATTAGTTAGGGGAATGGGCCTCCTCCTCCTGACACTCACTCAAAGAGGTCACTCACAATGTACAACGGTTTCTCTCA